CATAATTCATTCTTTTACTAAATACATTCCATTTATACTGGATGGCTTACTGATCTTCAAGTGTACCAAGTATTTCCTGTCTCAGTCCCTTATGTGTGTCAATTTCAATTGTCTAATATATTCTCTCTGCAATCCTTCACCTTGCTAAGTACTCTGAATGTCTGCTAAAAGGTCATCCATCCCCTTACAAAGTAAATTCTTGTTCACACCATCTGCTTCATCTTACCCCTCGTACTATTTTACTTTCTCATAGCACATAATTCATTTCCCTATAATATCGATCACAGTCTAAAATTGGTTTGTCACTCACTGAATTGTTATATTCTAATATTGTACCTCAAATAGAATGCTCCAAGAAAGAAGAAATCTTATTTAACTTGTTCAGGAAAGCTCAGTCCTGGTTTTTGGATAGCATATACTAATAAATAAATTTAACAAATTAGTAGAAATTATGTTATATAAAAAGTAAATATCGGTCATTTAATTCAGTCGGGATTTTATGATACATGATTTTTGAGAGCAATAAGAATTGACAATGATTTGAATGGATAAAAATTTTCTACAAGAATATTAGGAAAGGATATTATAGGTTACTTACTGCAAACATCTCATTTTATAGATAGGATACCTCATGTCTAAACAGGTAAACAAACTTCAGCCAGTGTCTGATATTTCACAATAATAAGTGACTTATTTTTTATTTCTATAAACTTCTTAAAGTAATAGTACTTGGATTTAAAAAAAAATCCTTAATGGCATTATGTATCTGTTGTATTCTCTTTGGAATTAGCCAATAGATAAAGTGTAATGATTGCCTCTACTTGGAGGTTCTGTCAGAAAGTATGAGAGAGATTTTGGAAAATAAACCATCCAGTGAATGGTCAGTAAGTAGGAAATCATTAGAGCAAGAATGAATTGTAGGTAAGAATTTATCATAGAAATAGCATTGATTTCCAAGGCAGTAGAATGACAAGATACATAGGAAATTATGTTTCGTGATTGCTTTGAACATTTCTTATATTTGTTGTAAATAATAAAATTTTCCAGGCACCAATCTTATAGGACATCATTTCTCAAACAAATTGTATGTAAATATGTCTTCTATATATCTTCTCAATGAAATCAACCTGGGATGATTATAGATTCATTTTTTAAAATATTTCTGAGGATTTTTTTCTCACATATTTTAAACACCATCATCAAGCTAAAGTTAAAATCCAAAATCTCATTTTAGCAGGAAACTTCTGCCTCTGGAAATGCTTTTATGCATTTCCTCAACCAAACCTCCTCTGTAGGAAGGCTAATTATAGGCTTCAATATGCACCTGGGTGAAAATTAACTTTTAAGCAGCCTTTAAAATAAACGGTTTTTAATTATTATCATTATGCAAAAGCTGCATAAATGCCTTTAATTGTGCTTATAAAGTAACATTTGCTATAATCACCTTTAATATCCAAGAGCAACATAAAGGTTTTCTTTTCTTTTTTTATTAAAATTAAAGTAGAAAGAACCCTTATTATGGATTCACAGGTCATTTTATTTTATCTTATGAGAGCAAATGTAACTGAAATAGATCAGCTAAAAAATAATGAAATAGATCAGCTGCTGAAACTTAACATGGACTGAATGCCAGTTACTTAAAATTGAACTTAAAAATATCTTGAAAATATGTTTAATTACTGAAGAGTAAAGGTCAATATACAAAATATTCAACTATAATGTTGAATTTTATGATTTGATTATTCTAGACATAACATTTCTACAGAGATGATGAAACAAGCACATTAAAAAATTAGAATATGCTTCATTTATTTAAAAATTAATCAAGACAAAAAATTAATCAAGACAAAAAATTGAGACAATATATTTTTTTCTTTTAAGAAATGACAGTGCTTAAAATTGCTCTGTGCGTGTGCCTATGTGTGTCCTTGTGTCAGAGAATAACTTTTGTTTCCACAAAACTTACTAAAAGACAAAATGTACTATAGGTCTATTTTTATTCAAAATTAGCCAAAACATTTAAAAAAAAACAAAACACATGCAAACAAACCAAAAACACCTATAAAATAGCAGCTTGAGGTAGACATGATGAAGGAAGGGGTGGAGAGCAGAGGCAGTATGCTGTGATAATTTGGGGTGGCATAGCAGCTGACTTAACTTTTGTTTTTCTTTTGATTATTTTCTTTCACTAGCTACTTTTTATAAGGAATGTGTGAAAGATGAAGATGTGGTATTTTAAAAATACTGTTTGCAAATTTTATTTGGGATTAGAGAAAGTATTATTCCAGAAAATTATTTTAAAAGTAGTTATTAGAATAATTATCAGAATAAATGAACTATATTTTTTAATATTACATGTAATACAGACCCAGTATTGGTCAGAAGATTCTGATGTTAATTTATTTACTCTCATATGATTAATTACATTCATTAAATTGAAATTTTATTGGCTACCATTTTTAAAAACTTCACATGGAAGTTTTTAAAAACTATAGCTTTGCAGGGATCATAATACTTGTTTAATTAAACAATTTGGATAGAGGCTGAAATCTGTGATTATATTTTTGCACTCCTACCTAAGTTTATTTCTAGCCTTTGTTGGGCCTGGGGACTTTACTAGTAAAGACACAGTGAAGACACAGTTGATGTAGGGACACATGTGAAATTCATTTCCCAACCTAGTCTTTTTACTTTGCATAGTTTCAGCCTTCTAAAGACCTCTTAAACTGATTCATGTCTAGATGTGTGGAAAGGATTTATAAAACATCAAGTCAATAAATAACTCAATCTATGAAGATACCATTGGACATGAATTTATAGATTTATATATTTCTCAGAAAAAAAGATCTATAACCATTAATGGTATATGTTTGGTGTTTAGACTTTAGGGGTTTTTGTTTTGTTTTCATAAATGGTATGTTCTACAAAAGTGATAGAGATGAAGAGCAAATGCATTAGAAGATATTACAATAGAGAAATGGCCTGAGAGAAAATTGATCATGTGAATCAGATTCTCAGTTCCATAATTTTTGAACAGGTATTTACAGTTTAAGATAATGTTCATTCCTTTTTAGCTTTATCCATACAGCCCAGTGAATAAAAAACAAACAAACAAAAAACAAAAACATAAAGAAACCCTAATAATGTCTTTAGAAGTTTTAAATCACAAAGTAGAAAACATTTGGAGAACTTATGTATTACTTTGGAAAGTTCATGAAAATATAATAACATTCTATTTTTATGTTGTTTTTATTAATCATGAAGGGCTGGCAGGCAGTTCTATATTGCTATGTCAGTTAATGGAGAAGAAACACTGATTTTACATGTTTCCATTTGCCAAATATAGTAATAAAAGACACAGTCATTGTGTCCCTACAGAAAGTTTTTTCTTTTCAGTGTTTCTTCAAGTAAACTTATCTGTTTAAATATCTTATTTGTAGAGTATCCTGTTTGCTGAGGCATCATATCCACTTACCTTTGAAAAGACTTTAAGAACAACAATGTGACTGCTGAGTACTGATTTACATAGAATAATTATTATTCTTGTCAGTTAAGGACAAATTCTATGGCCTGCTTTGAAATCCTAGGATAATAAAAAGGGTAGCCCAAATATTTTGTTTTGTTTCATTTTATTTAAATTTTTATTTAATTCCAGTTAGCATAGAGTGTTATATTAGTTTCAGGAGTACTATACAGTAATTCAACAGTTCCATATACTCACCATGACAAGTGCACTCCTTATCCCCATCACATGTTTAACCCACCCCAGCCCCTGTAATCATCAGATTGTTGTCTTTCCCTTTGCTTGTTTGCTTTGTTTCTTAAATTCCCAATAGGAATGAAATACTATGGTATTTGTCTTTCTCTGACTGACTCTTTTCACTTAGCATTATACTCTTCAGCTCTTTCCATGTCATAGCAAATGGCAATTTGCATTCTTATTTATGGCTGAATAATATGACCTTGCGTGTGTGTGTGTGTGTGTGTGTGTGTACCTATACCTATATTCTTTATTCATTTTCTCCATTCATCAATTGATGGACACTTGGGCTGCTTCCAAATCTTGGCTATTTTTAATAATGTTGCTGTGAACATAGGGATGCCCATATCAATTTGAATTAGTGTCCTTGCATTCTTTGGGTAAACATCTGATAGTGTGATTACTGGTTATACTTGCAGCATTAATGTTGATAGTAAAATGGTGTAAGTTTATCAGGTCTTATCTTTTGAGGTAATAATTCCTCCAGGAAATAAAAATGAGAAAGAAATTATTTTCAAGAAGCAGTTCATAACCCATTAACCAAGGTGTGACTCCCAACTGTAAAGAAATTATTAGTATGAGACAAGTATGAGGGAAGACAGCACCATGGGAATAAAAGTGTCTGTTCTATGTGTATCCCATCCTTGCTCCATCAAAGAGTTTCTAGTCCTGTAAGAATGTGCAAACTTCCTGGATTGGCCCCAGTTAGGATCTAATCAAGAAAACATAAACTATATTTGTTTTTCAACAATAATAATTATCACAGGTGGTTAATTAACATAGATCTATTAGGTGTATGTGGTTTAATGCATTAGTACCTCCTCTGAAGACTTTTGCATGATTCTATGCTACTTTGCTGAATAGATATTAGGGGGTGAAAGTTGGTCATCTTCCTCTGAGATAATGTAATGCTCGTACATTTGGGAATGACAGAAAAGTTTTTTAAAAATTGCTTTTGTTATTTCTTGAATAATTTGCCACATATATTATGATAAATATCCACAGAATGCATACATGCCTACATTTACCAATGATATTTTATCACATATGTATATAATCTAACAGCTTTAATGAGGATATTTTGATCTCTATGTAGAAATTGGAAAGACTCTAGAAATAAACCAATCCAAAGAATCCCAATTTTAAAATTAAGAAATTCAGAATTTATTTTTTTTAAGATTTTATTTATTTATTCATGAGCGACAGAGAGAGAGAGAGAGAGAGAGAGAGAAGGAGGCAGAAGCAGGGAGAAGCAGGCTCCTGATGAAGCTCAGAGCCTGATGCAGGCCTCTATCTCAGGACTCTGGGATCATGACCTGAGCCAAAGGCAGACATTTAACAGACGGAGTCACTCAGGCACCCCAAAATTTCTTTTTTTTTATGATTTTATTTATTTATTCATGAGAGACACAGAGAGAGAGAGAGAGAGAGAGATTGAGAGAGAGGGGCAGAGACACAGGCAGAGGGAGAAGCAGGCCCCATGCGGGGAGCCTGATGTGGACCTCCATCCTGGGATTCCAGGACCACGCCCTGGGCCAAAGGCAGACATTCAGCCGCTGAGCCATTCCAGGCGTCTCCAGAATTTCTTTTAAATGTTTAACTAATGTGTTCTTGACTTTCATGATATCAGACTTTCATGATATCTCTTTGTCAAAATATATATGCGTTTTCACATACACACACACACATATGCAAACAAGCTTTGAGAGGACAAAGGAATTAAAATATGTAAAGTAAAGCAAAAAATATTTCCACTCTTAATCCCCAAAAATCTCCAATATATTCTATCATCACATATAATCAATTTGAAATATACATATTTCAATATATATTTATATAAATACATGATTTTTATGTAAATATAAATATGTTTATATGCAGTATATATTCAAATTATGAATAATGTCTAGAAAATATTTTTAATTCTTTTAATTTTGTAATTGCAACATACAATGTACGTATGAATAAATAAATATGACACAAGAAATTACATGTTTCACTTTTAATATAGGTAGAATTTTCACAAGAAATTGAAATATACTTCTCAATGTTGAACAATAAAGTAAGTAATAATTACTATTAAAATGTATGCAATTTAAGTGACTTAAATGTCACAATTTTTTACTTAGGCATTCAGGTATTTTACTTGTCTTAAGCAAATAGTATTATGAAATATTTAATAAAGTAAGAAAATCTTGTTCAAGTACCAATCCTTTAAAAATATATTGGATTTTATTTTTTATTAATTATACCTATAGTTTCTACTTTTTATTTGCCTTAAGTTTATTATTCTAAATTTATCTAAATTCTAATATTAATTTTTACTCAGTAAAAAGTACTGTTATTTTTGAAATTCTGTTACATTATAGTCAACCATTGACTAAGTCTTACTTAGTGGGTTTATAGACTGTTTTTCTACACATTTTTCCTACAGTATGAATGGAATCATTGCTGACTTCCTATGCATATAAGAATTGAATTTCTTCAAATAAACCTTATGTTTCTTTTGTGCCCACAGAGACATCTGGATACTCATCAGAAGTGTAAAAACCCCAACTAGAAGAAAAAAGAAATAAGTATCCTTTCTTATTTCTATGATGCATATAGCAAGTTACATTTAAAAAACTATCATATTTAGCTCTTAAAATATTTCTCAATTGTTGCATACTTCTGAATCAATTTTCTTTACTTATATTCATTGCCTAGCATAATATATATTCAACCATTTTCATTGCATGGTTGAATAAACATAGAAAGTACACAGCAGAGATCAAAATAAATTCACATTTTTTTATATCCCACTGCTACAAAGTATTTCCAAATAAAGAATTTTTATCTCTTTGAATTTTTCAGTAATAGTTTTCTGTATGTATATAATATACATCTACACAGACACATGGCAAACCACATTAATTATGATTTTAAAATTTTATACAGTGGAACGAATAATGGATGAGATGCTTGTAATGGTTGTACCACATATCTTTTCCAATACATGCAGCTGATTGCAATTTAACTCTCTTATGTGTGTTAAAATGCCCAGCATTTAAGATTACACACTTATGCTCCTAGTCTTCCCTTCAGAGACATTATGAGCACTTGAAGGACACAGCAATACACGTCTGCATTTATGCATAACAGAGTTTCAAGTGAAGTGCATTATTACCATTACTTTTTATTAATAAATTCTTGCTGTTTAATATGTTTGGGCTACTTTTTCTAGGTTGGATTAAGCCATAATTACCTAGAGATTTTTGTTTCATTATATTTTAAAACTGCTAAAAATATCCGAAATAAAAATAAAAATAGAAGCATAAAATCCTTTTGCAAAAATGCCAGACTTTACCGCTATAAAAACTTGTTCTCAGAAACCACTTTTCCTAAAGGTGCATTTACTTAAATATGGAATAACCTAGGTCTTACCTGGCAGTGTTTGTGTCATGACTGTGAAACTAATCCATGATCCAATCTGTTAGGTTAAAGAATAAATTAATAAATACCATTTGTGATATTACAAAGGTAATATGAAAGCTTAAAAGACAGTAAGAAAACTATAGGTAGAAATAAATTTCTCCCAATAATAATTTTGTTTTTAAATATGATAGTCATAATCCCACAAACAGCATCATATTCATAAAACAAAATGGAGCATATTGTTCCAAAAACTGTAATGATAAGAAAAAAAAAAACAAAATTCTGAAACATCTCAAGATATTTGATATGGAGATTGTAAAGTTTTCTTTAAAAATAAATATATGTAAAAATATTCATTTTTGCAGGGAAAATTGTGGTTGAATGTTCCAATTTCCTATGCCTATTACTTGAATTGAAATATATATCATAATTTATAACTCTGTGCCAAATCTACAGATAAAACCTGTATATAATTATATATATTAAACTATAATATATGTAAATACATAAACATGCATTTCATATATCATATAATAAAGTGTAATTATTTATATGCATAAATAGCATACCTCATAGGTGTAGTTAGGACATGAAACCAGGAAAAACATCCATGTGAAGGGGTTATAATTTGGACTTGGAAAACAGGCATTAATTCCTTTTAGAAAGAAGAGTAAAGTATCAGTGATGCTACATATTGCAAATTTAATCATATATGTATAATTCTAAATTCTCTAGAACAACTTATACTACATAAAATGTCATCATGTATTTATAGAAACGTATTTCCCAAATTACTCAGAAAAATCCCAGTTTCAAATGTTATGACCTTTTGACTCAGAATACCTGTCATTTTTTATGTCTACAGCTATATTGCTACAAAATTACAGAATATACCATGATAATCAGTTCTTTAAAATTTAATATGTAAATATTATTTTGCAAAATATTTGCAGCTTAATTGCATACTCAAATCAGTAAATGTGCCTTAACAATTGCATGCCTTTTCTCTTTTAGTTTCAAATAAGATGTTTTTGGTTGAGATTATTAAATACTTCAAACCTCCCTTTCTATTTAATTAGTGAAAATCCAAAGGGAATTTTACAAGGATGTCATTTATATTAAGAAAGTGTGAAAATCTCTCATAAGAGGATTACAGTGAGTATCAGCATAGTTAATATTCAGAAATACCACATAAATTATTTCTGCTCAGCAAGCAGGATTGTTATTTACAGTTTTCATTATACTTAGCATATTGTCACTTGATTTTTGTGATTTTTTGCCTTTCAATTTCTTTCAAGAAATATTTTAGATAACAAATTTATAATGATTTCAAGTTGAACTTTGAGCAGTGACATTTGTAAAAGTAAATGTGAATTATAAAATCACTGTTTATTCTCCATAGCAAGTTTAATCAGATAACACATCAGCTAATCTCTTTTAGTTATAATTCTAAAGTCATAATGAAATGTCAGTATGCTGCTTTCAGAATTGTAACTATTGCTAAAATATCAAAGTAAAAAAATATATTAGGTACTGTGCAGATTTCCTGTACTGTTCATTTCAAGATAAGGATAAATACATATGCCATTTAATATTTCAGATTGTCTTGATAACATACATGCAAATGCTTTTGTGTAATATCCATATATTCATCAAAAGAAAAGTGATTGAGGAACCTACTATCCATGTTATAGAATCTGAATTTCAGAGGTGGAAGATGCACGCAAGATAATCTGGGTTAAATCTAGTTTATGACTGTTCAGCCTCTAGTGTTAGTGGAATGTTCAAGGATCCACAAATGCACACTTCTTCCAGATGTAGTTTATAGATTTAATAACCAATATGTCTCAGGACCCTGAAAATGTATATAGACATTGTCTTGTGTATCTATTTTCTCTGTTAATTTTAAGATGTAAGCCTGGATGTTACTAATTTAATACTTACATCGCGATGAAATGCTTTCTCAATCTATATTTACTATATATAATAGAGCTTCTATTACATAAAAGTCAGAAGATTTTTTACATTGCAATAGTGCACCACCCAGATTCTTCTTTAGGTAGAAGAGATTATTCTACATCTTCAGGGATAGCTGCTGGCAGAAAACTTTCAATTCTCAGCATCCCCTAAGAAGATTGTCTGGCAGAACGGAGTAACCTTGTGCCCAAGGTCACATTCATTCTTTGGTGTAGCTTTAATCAAATATTTGATCAATATGGTAAATTGATGACTCAACTCAGAATAACATTGATTGATCATTCCAGCTTTAGAATGCCCCATAGGTTCACCTGAGACTGCCCTTGAAACTATATGACTCTCAATTTTCTCTCCAAACATGACTTAGTTTTTCCCCATTCATAAAATCATCTCTAACAGACCTCCTGAATGCTAATATCCACCTTAGCATCCGCATCCTAGAAAACTGAACTGACAGTAGCTGCCACCAGGAATGGCCCAAAAAGCAGATAATGGAATGGCATTTTAAAGTTGAATGACCAACTGAAAAGCCTGCAATGAGGACTCCCATCATTGACGGTAGATCCCAAACAGATAGCTGCTGGTACAAGAGTAGCTGTGCAAATATAAAGCCTTTTTACCAGTGGTGTGCTGATATTCTATACTGGTGGAAAAGAATGCTTTATTTGGTCCAATGGAATTAAGTGGTGACTGCTATCAGTACTCAAGGTAGCTTAAAACCGAAATTGACAATTGGCAATTAAAATCCAACTGCAACAGAGGACCTCATCACAGAAGCTCTAATCTCTTGGAATGGGAGAAACACAGAAAAAGCTGAACACCAGTCCAAAGACTTACTTGCAATAGTAGTCATGCTCCAAAGGAAAAAAAAAAAAAAAAAAAAAAAAAAAAAAAAAAACTCCAATCCAAACTAGGTCTGCTAAGTCAAGGTTGGTATTCACAAAATCTTGGTATAGATTCCCGTGAACCATGAGCCTGATGAAGGGGCCATTCTATTAAAAGCTAGCACAACCTCTTGCTTAAAGGCAATACATATGCCACTATGTTGCAAGAAATTCTGTTCTAGGATCTTCTCTATGTCTTCTTCGGAACTTCTATGCTATAAGGTAGGCTTACAGAACAATATAATCTACCTGAGGTTGTTCTGGATCTGGGAAGGGAGAAAAAGGATTATTCCTCAACCTACGGAACCCAGCTAGCAAATCATGGGAGAATATACATGTGATTGGATTCAGAGAATGCTTGATAAGAAAGGAAAAATATAAAATTGGACAAGGATAGGTTTATGTTGGAGCAGTCTTCTGGGATATAGGAGTTAATGCTCTGCTAAAATGGTACAGACACACTAACATGCACCTGGAAGCATGAGCACAGTAAGTGAGGAAGAAATGTTAGAATCCCCATGGCAGGCAGGGGAGAAAGATGTCAAATGGCTTAGAAAAGTGGGGATCCTAGATTAGATAGTCTATATAAGGCTGAAAAGGGAAGGCTCTTTTCCATGGAAGAAAAGTTTTTCTCATGTTCCATATCCCCATGTTCTTTCCCATGTTCCACATAATTTAGAGGATGTACCATTTTCCAAAGCTATAAGGATGTATTAGTGAAAGGGGCACCACCAGCACTAAGATTAGTTTTGTCTCTCTGCAGTTCCAGGCTGAGTATAAGGGCTGTCATTTTAGAACTAGGATGGACTAGTAGTGATTGGGATTTAAGTATCCTTCCTTCCCCTTCTCCCAAATCAAAGGCATTTCTAATTACAGCACTTAGTTGTCATAAGCCAGAATGAGTAGTAAAATCAGAAGAGGCTCGATCTACAAAAAGTTACGGCTGGTTAAAAGTAACACAATGTTCCAAAAAGCTAGCTTATATTTACCCAACAGTGTTATTTCTGAATTTAGATACAAATTAAGAGATGGACAGTCCAGAGATTTGGGGCAGCTGACAATATAACATTCCTTTCCCAGTTTTTGGATTTTAACCAGCTATAAGACACTAAATTCATTGGTGGAAGAACAAACTGGGACCTCAGGAAGGAAGACTCTGCAATGCCAAGACAAGTATCCAGGAAAATTTTACCTCCAAGATGAGGATCCAGATAGGGGATCTTGGGTAGCTGGCTCAATTTCTGAAGCATCTCTTGATTTCAGCTTAGGTCATGATCTCAGTGTTGTGAGACTAAGCCCCACACTGGGCTCCACTTTGCATATGGAGCCTGCATAAGATTCACTCTCCCTCTCCCTCTGCCCCCCCTCCCACATTCCCTTTCTTAAAAAAAATAAGAATATAGGTTATGACAATAGGTAATCTCTGAGACATTAAATGTGCATGTTGAGGGTAAAAGGAATCTAACAGTTTGTGGAGGAGAAAATTAGTGCACATCCGTTGTTATACTGAGACCATGTACAGTGGTAAAGGCTGTGTACTACTCTCCCACTAGCATGTCTCTTTTACATTTCCCCAGAAAGAGAGGCACTCTGGCAACCTGACAGAGTTATTACCAGAAAGTTTACAAAGAAGTGGATCTGTGAAACCTGAGGAAGAGACTGATGCGAGCTGATATGATGTCAAGATCCCCATCAAGTATGACAGACTTCTTCCATAACTGATGGGACTACTGGTAGCAGAAAGTTTTCAACTCCAGACCCTCCAAGAGGATGGCCTTGACTAAAGACAGCTGTTTTATACTCGGTCATTCACATTTCCCAGAGAGATCTACACTCAAGTAACCTTATTTCTAGTCATTCCAACACAAGACAACTCAGGTAAGTTATCCTAGATTCAGATACCCCTGTAGAATTAACTAAGGTCACTCGTGAGACAGCATCACAGTCTAATTTCCTACTTAGCAAAATTCTCCTTCCCTCCTTCTTTTCCGTATTTTGTAATAAACTTCTTTTAAACTTATTCTATATCAAACTGTCTCCTGGGGAACATGTTTTGTAACACCTTATTTAAATAATAAATATTAAATGGTCCCCCTATACATAATTTATGACTAAAGCACATCTAAGAAACAGATGTTACTACAAGGATCAATTAACACATAATGGGGAATAAAAAACCAGGAACAGCAGAAACTTTTTAAAAGCCAACAAAGGAACTGATAGTTTAAAAAGGAGTTTATGTAAGAAAAAAAGAATGCACTGTATGTATAGAAATCTAAAATTCATGATAAGGAAAAGTAGATCTACTGAGAAAAGGTCTGATACCTGACAGATCAGAACACTGAATATGAAGAACTGAAATGAGATGAAATGATTTGTAAGTAGTGAGACTAGAAGGTTTTCATCTTAGGAAGCACTACTTCCATGAAAGTATCGGAGAGCAGCTCATGAGGAATACATTGATTGGGGGCTTAGGGGAGAAGGAAAAGAGGGAAACATTTCTTTGGAATTGTGGCATTTAGAAAAAAAGAGTGTTTAAAGAATCAAAAGACACAATAAAACAACCCTTCTTCCTTCCGGAACACACTTTAGAGACTCCACTTCAAGCACCCCATCCGTAAAAATATTTATTATTTCTCTTTTAGGACAACCCATACACTTAAAAATGAACATAGGTTGATTGGCATTCATATAAGCCTTCTATGTAAGAAAAATAGAAAGCTATTTTTTCCATGCTGATAAAAATACCCCCTAAAAGATAATTGAAAAAATTTAACAGAATCTTTTTTTTTTTTATTTAACAGAATCTGCCTACACAGAAGCATTTACAGATACAGAGAACATAACCACTAAGAATTCCAAAACTCAAAATAGATTTGGCCAAAACAGGAAGAAAAAATAGATGAAAAGTGATTATACTCAAGAAAAAAATTGTAGTAAAAGGAAAAAAGTCATCTTAGTAATATAGACATTTCAATTTGCCTATGGAATGTTTAATAGAATAGGGGATATTAAGATGAAGAAAAACAGCCAAAAACAAATAAAAAGGTAAAAATAGAAAGTAATAGATATATAAGACATAAATATGTTATATATATATATATATATATATATATATATATATATATATATATAATTTAACCCCTTAATACATTCAACAATACAAGTAAACAAATTTTAAACCATAAGAAAACTTTCTGGAAGTAAAAAAAAAAAAAGACATGAATCAACCTACTGGAAGATTACATCATGTTTCTGGAAAATTGACCTGAAATTATGAAGTCTAAGACATACCCCACACAATTAATAGACTTAGTGATAAAGAAAAAGTCTTTGAGTCTCAAGATTAAAAGACCAAGTCAATTAATAAAGAAGAGAAGATTAGATTGGCATCCGATTTCTCAAGAGCAACGTATAAGCAAGTTAAAGGATGGAATAAACACTAAAGAAAAAAAGTCTTTTTCTCATGAACAATCCAAAGGCCTGTTTGACTTCAGAAACATGATTTAAAATTTTTATTTTCAAATCATGATACCATAATCCAAGTACATGAAGAAACTTGAGCAAGATGACACAGAGGTTCATAGTCAAGACTAAAATTAGTGATATTCATAACTTTGGCAATATTAGTATTTTTACAGAGTTGTATTGTGTTTCTACACTAAAAGTTTTACAGTTGGGTTTCAAATACATCCAAAGAGAGCTCAGTAAATCTATAAATTTGGATCAGATAAAAATGATATCCAACCACTCTATTTTTAATAAATAAATAAATAAATAAATAAATAAATAAATAAATAAATAAATATTTATTTATTTATAAATAAATAAATAAATATTTATTTATTTATAAATAAATAGAGAGAAAGAGCTAGCAAGACAGAGCATGAGCAGGGAAGAGAGAGAGAAGTAAACTCCCCAGGAGCTGGGAGCCTAACATGGGGCTTGATCCTAGGGCCCTGGGGTCATGAACTGAGCTGAAGGCAGACCCTTGACTGACTGAACAACCCAGGCACCCCTCAGCCACTCTACTTTAATGTAAAAGCAGACAATAAACCACAATAGCACTGTCATTATTCTCTTAATATTTTTCAGCAAGAGAAGGTACAAATATTTTCAAATCATGTTATCTATCATCTATCACCTATCATCTATCTATTTATCTATCTATCTATCTATCTATCTATCTATCTATCTATCATCTATCTATCATCTTTATATAGTCATCAATTTAACTAACAGCTAAATTCTAAGTGTCCTCCTAGGCATTACTGTTTCTAAACTTTGAATTTGCCAAAGATCGCTTTTATTAGAAAAAGTTTAAGTCTCTTGAAATATAGTGGGATTACATAAATTATTATGCAAATTAGATTAAGATTGGGAGTCAAGCTAAGAAATTGAAATTTATCACTGGATTTTATACTCCCTTACTTCTTAATCATCTGTTTTTCACATATTTAAGTGAGATTGTCATTTGATTTAGGGGGGCATGTGCATTTTATTTTAGAGAAACCATTATTAGAAAATATGATTTAGTTCAAATATCTTAAAAACTTAGTCATACAGGGGCTAGAATTGGGGCATATTGTCTTAAAAGTTTCCAACTATTGCTTTAAAAATGTTTGCTAAAGTCTTTTTAAAAATAACTAACATTAAAAAAATAATAAATAAATAAATAAATAAATAAATAATAAAAATAATTAACATTGTTTAGAGAAGAGATAAAGAGACTAACCTGTATGATTGGGATGAGCCAAGATCACATTGATGAAATGATTTCCAGCTTCACAAATCTGTAAAACATTTTAAACTTTTCAGTGTGATCAACATATTCCTCTTTAAAAATTATATTCTATAGATTTACCAACATCCATGTAAGATATTAATCTCAAGTTCCAAGAGATATATTATCACTCTAATTGTAAGGAGAAGGTAGCTTGTATCACAACAATGAAGAAGCTGTTGTAGACATATTGAATTAACCTAATGGATCACCCTGAGTTAGAAACTTTGAAGGTATTATTGATCTTTTTTTTTTTTTTTTGAAGACTTCATGTATTTGTGGGAGAGAGAGCAAAGTAAGAGAGAGAGTAGGAGATGGGAGGAGGGACAAAGGGAGAGGGAGAAGCAGACCCCCCGCTGAGCAGGGAGCTCAATGCTGGGCTCCATCCCAGAACCCTGAGATGTGACCTGAGCTGAAGGCACATACTTGACTGACTGAGACACCCAGGTGCCCCTATTGATCCGTTTTGATAACTAAGTTCAAATTCCCTTGTTAAAAATCAGGTTGTGCTGATTATATGCTTTGTACTTGGTTAGTAGGTAAGTTTCCACGCCATGAAGAGACAAGTCATGTCAGAGAAGATAAGCCTGGCATAGGTTTACACATCCTAAATTTATTAGCACAGTAGCAACCCTACCACTGCAAGGATGATAGCATGATTCCCCCCAACCCCCCGCCCCAGTTTCAACTCAGTTTAGAAAACTTATTGTAAGCAGTACTGTCCTGCAAAGACACTTGCTGATTGTCTGTCATCTGACCCCTTGATCATGTACACTGCCCTAGCCATCCTAGTGAATAGGCCACTGTGACCCCCTAAGAAACTCTAGTCTAACATCTCTGGGAATGAGGTTAAAATTGTTCCCAAATTGCAACATGGAACCTCACAAGTTAGTACCCCTTCCTTTGTTACCTATATGCTTTACCTGATTTCTTAAAGAGATTTTATTTATTTATCAGAAAAAGAGAGAGAAAAAAAATAAAAATAAAAGAAAAAGAGAGAGAGAGAGAACATGAGGAGGGTGAGAGAGGGGAGGGATGGATGGAGAGGGAGAAGCAGACGCTCAGCTGAGCAGGGAGCCCACAGTGGGGCTCCATCCCAGGATTCCAGGATCATGACCTGAGCTAAAGGCAGAGACTTAACTGACTGACCCACGCTGGCACCCCATTATATGTTTTATCTGATAAACATGAAGTATGTATTCAACATTTAAATACTATGTTGTTAATAACAGATTGTTATCCAAAACCATTTGGTTTAAAGTCATCCAAATTTTCACTATAATATATCCCATAAATTGAGCATGTTTTTAACTCAGTATCTTTAATGCTAATAATCTCTTCCAATATACCTGATTTTGTTCTTTTCAACAATCTCTCTATGGATTTCTTCAGATATAATAGTTTTCTAACTGTAGAAGAGGTTCCTAGTTTCTCAAGTTGTCGCTAGGAATAAAAGCTGAATTTTACATTTTCAGATAATAATTTTATAGTTGAACTTATTTCTAGGTGAATGTGGTTAAGACTATGAGCCACTGTTGGATGAATCTATGCTCAAATGCCTCATCTTTTAACTTACTTTCTAGAGATTACATGACTAAGACATATGAAAGTCCATTTCTTCCCCTAAATGCTAATATTACTTCCTGTCTTATGATGGTTATTTTAGGATGATTAAATGAAATCAAGTGTCTGACATATGAATTACCCAATAAAACTATGATAATTTTAGTTACCAATGTCATTAATTAAAAACTTCTTCAGAGAATGTTCCTACACTGATTAATCTCACTTCTCTAAATTTCTATCTCACACAATGGTAGCACTACAAAACACATAATTACTAAATTAATAATTTGTTATATTTGTTTGGTCTTCACATATATTTCTAATCTTTCAGGCAAATGGCATGTCATACTTATTTTTCATCACTCACAGTGCCAAATACCAAATGGGATATATGATAAAAACACTTATTAATAAGCAAATTAACTTACCAAATCTTTGTGAACAAATTAGACGTTAGAAATTATGGGTTTTCTTCTGGTAAAACATAATCACTTTATTATTATCAAGATTTTAAATTCATTCAACCATCAAAATATTTTCTCCTTCCTACTTTCCACAACACAACTATATCTGAACAACTACTTTTCACAACACAACTATATATAGGCCATGAAATAGAGCATTTAAGCTTTATTAAGACCACTAGCTATATCCCATAATTTATCATTAGGTGCCCCTTCCCTCCAACCCCCAAATAAACCACATAATGTACTGAAATAAGAAATATGAGAGAAGGGGATAAAAAAGCTGGGAAATAATCCAACTTTTCCATCTTTCCACCTACAGTTGAAATGCCTATCTACATGCATTGTAGGAGTGGAGAGAAAAAATCAGCTATATCTATACTATATCCTTAGAAATACTTAGTTTATCATCAACTTAGCAAATCTGTAATGGATTTTAAGGATCTATTTTCAATGCTCACATTAAGCACTGGTTCTAAAACTCTGAAGAATGAATGTGTCCAGTATAGGTTAATTGACCTAGATAAAAGTGGTTGATATAATTTCCTCTTCTGTCAGAGCTGAGTAAGATTAGAAAATTCAGTCAGTGCTGTAAAACTCAATATATGGTTCTCTCGTTGAATAAAATTTCAGAAGCACATTCAGTGTGAAACCCTGAAACATTTCCCAGCATGACTTACACATTTCTACTGGGTTGATTCTTCTTTAAATTAGGAATCTTCATTTAGCATATTACATGTTAACACAACAACTTCATAAATAAAGTTTGAGAAAGTTATCATTAAGGTTTGATTTCTACGTTATTTACATGTTAAATCATCTTATATAGTAAACATGCAGATGTGTAGGAGTTGCCCAACTTGTAGAGATCCATTTTTATATAATTTCTGTATGGTTCTTTCTTGTAAGCTTCAGCAAGCAATTGTTCTCTACTTATATAAGGGAAGACAATGTGTCTATGGAATAAAATCTAAACACTCAAACACAGAATTTGTAGACATCCAAAAGGCTCTCATTTTGTCTTAGTAAAATTCTTTTGGTTTCCACAGTAAAGATAAGTAATCTTTATTTTGTAATCTGATAGTGTTTTATAGGAATGAAAATTATCTATATTATTTCTGTATATATCTATTTTCCCTAAAGTTTTATACATGTTATCATTAATCATTATTTATAATTTGACATAAGTTTATAATTTGAGCAATGTAATGGTCATTTTATTAATATAATTAAAAATTGAATCTGCTAGAATGTTTCTAACACTAATAATCAGATTTGTTTTGAATTTCAGCTATTTTAATTTTCTCTATTTCTAATGATATTTATCATGTCACATCTTATTTTATGTAATATATCAAGAATAAGAAAAATCTTCAATCACTATATAATTATGGAAAATTTCATCATGATCTGTATCAACTATTATCATCTTGAGAAGTTAGTCTCTAAAGGATAAAACATATTTGCATAGACATGCTATTTAATAATATAGGCCAATATTACACTCTTTTAGCATCATAAGTTTTATATTGGACTTATAATAACATATCACTATGATAACATTATAAAATTTATTCTAATTCCCAATCTTGATTTTTTAAAATTAGGAAACCCATTTATAGACATTTCAATAAAAAGATAACATGCATTATGTTCCAGAATATATATGTCCAATATATTCATTATAGGTTTATCAGAAAAAAAATATAGTAACCAATACTTTTATTCATAAGAGTTTATTTTTTAAGAAGTTTAAAGTTGACAGCAAAATCAAGGGGAAGGTACAGGGATTTTTTTATATACCCCCGTGCTCCTGCACATTCATAACTTCTCCCATTATCCATGTCCCCCACCATCATGGTATGTTAGTCACAGCTGATAAACCTACATTGACACATTATAATCACCCAAAGTCCATAATCTACATTACAGTTCACTCTTGGCATTGTGCATTCTGAGCTTGGACAAATGTATAACGGCACATATCCATCATTATAGTAGCATACAGAGTATTTCCACCATCCTCTTCTTCTTCCTCTCTCCCCAACACTTGCCAACCACCAATCTCATTACTGTTTCCAGTTTTGCATTTCCCAGAAATTCATCTATTTGGAATCAAACAGTATTCAGTCTGAAAGGGCTTCTTTTACTGAATAATATTCTTTTCATTTCTCCTGGTGTCTTCTCATGGCTTGATAACTCATTACCCTTTAGCATGGAATAGTATTCCATTATCTGGATGTATCAGTTTATCCATTCAGCTACTTTGAGACTTCTTAATTGCTTCCAAGTTTTGGCAATTATTTTTTATTTTTTATTTTTTTAAGATTTTATTTATTTATTCATGAGAGGCACAGAGAGAGACAGACAGACAGAGGCAGAGACACAGGCAGAGGGAGAAGCAGACTCCATGCAGGGAGCCTGACATGGGACTCGATCTCGGGTCTCCAGGATCAGGCCCTGGGCTGAAGGCGGCACCAAACCGCTAAGCCATCGGGGCTTGCCCAGTTTCGGCAATTATGAATAAAACTGTTGCAAACATCCTTTGTAGGGTTCTGTGTAGACATAAGTTTCTAATTCCTTTGGGTAAATATCCAGGAGCACAATTGCTGGATAGTTGAAGTATATTTAGGTTTGTAAGAAACTGCCAAACTGTTTCCCAAAATGACTGGATCATTTTGGATCCCCACAGCAACGAATGAGAGTTCTTGCTCTTGTTCCACATCCTTATCTTCATTTGGTGTTGTCAGTGTTCTGGATTCTAGGCCATTCTAATAGGTTTGTAGTGCTATGTCTTTTAATTTGCATTTCCATGATAGCATATGATTTGGATCATCTTTTCATAGGCTTATTTGATATTTGTGTATCTTCTTTGATAAGGTGTCAGTTAAAATCTTTTTCGTATTTTTGAATTGAGTTGTTTGTTTTCTTATTCTTGCATTTTAAGGACATTGTATATTTCTGATAATGATCTTTTATC